TCTATGTCCTTTCTCAAACTGTCTCTGGCTGTGTTTCTGTCTTGCTGCTCCCGATTCTGTGTCTCTGTGTTGTAATTTTTTTCTGTCTCTTTCCCCCAACATCCCATCCCATTCTATCCCATCCCATCCTAGTGCCATTACACTGTGGGTTCTTAGCGCATCAAATTGCATTACACAGATCAAGCCTGGGGTGAACTGTCTCAACGTGCCAGATCAATTCCGCTACCTATAATGACCAGAGTACTGCCTTAAGACCCACACTGTGTGTGCACACGCGTTCCCCTGAGAGATGACTAAACCATAGAAAATGTTCCTTCTGCAATAAATTGCACAACCAGTACCAAGTCACAATTGAACAATTTACTTTTAACAAAACTAATAATGATATTGAGTTACAGGGCAATGGTCCAAGTGTATGAGGCATTTTTACTCCATATGTAACTGTGTGGTACCATCTACTAAATTTGTTTTGGAGAGGGGATTTTTTTTCTCTCTCTGATCAACAGAAGGGTTTTAATAATGTATTTTTGTACAGGTAAAGCATTGCTACCAACTGGTACGTGACGTAATGTGGGTATTGTGCAGTCCCTGGCAGGTTCTACGCTGGAATAGGGGACCGAGACACGACTAAAGTGCCAGGCGAGATTGCAGGATTTGTATGATGTCTGCTCGTGCAGGTAAATAGATGAGGTTGCTCGGGAATGTGACACCATCTCCAGAGGGATTTAGCCCGGAGCAGGCTATTAGAAGCTAAAGCAATTTTTGTATTGTTTATTTTCCCACCTCTTGAAATTTCCTGCTCTTCTAACCTGAAACATGAGGATAGTCTTTAGTGCTGGTGACCAGTTTGTCCAACAGGAGGCCGTTCTCTGAATATTTTATTGGTTCGTTCGCGGGGCTCGCTGTCTGGGCTAATATTTATTGACATACCCTTGAGAAGCTGGTGGTGAGCTGCCTCCTTGATGTGCTGCAGTCCATTACTTGTAGATATACCCGCAATGCCATTAGGGAGAGTGTGCCAGGATTTTGACCCAGCGACACTGAAGGGACCAGTTTGATTGGTGAGTACCTTGGAGGCGAACTTGCAGGGGGTAGTGTTCCCATGTATCTGCTGCCCCCCTTTTTTTTTTTTAATTCATTCATGGGATAAGGCACCACTGTTTGGGCCAGCATTCATTGTCCGTCCCTAGTTGCCCTTGAGAAGGTGGTGGTGAGCTGCCGCCTTGAACTGCTACGGTCTATGTTCTTGTCCTACTAGGTGGAAGTGGTTGTGGGTTTGGAGGGTGCTGTCTAAGGAGCCTTAGTGAATTTCTGCAAGGCATCTTGTAGATGGTACACACCATATGTGAATCTAGCTGGGGAGGAATGAAAGACAGGGGAGGCATTTCAACTCTGAAGGATTCATCATTAGCCTTGTCATCTGGCTGTGTCCTTTTTAATGCATATCCACATCTACTGGATACTAACTTAGTGTCTATGTTGTTTTCTAACACAGGCTTTCTAATTGAGAGCAATTTATGATTTGTTGCCCTACTTGGAAAGTGTTATTTAAATTCAGCTGTCTACTGAAAGTAAGTGTGTACTAAGCAATGCTGCAATTACAGCAATCCCTTTCCTTCTAGACTCTATTCAATGGGACAAAAGTTAAATATCTTTTATAGCACTTTTCAACATTATGCAGTTGTGAAGAAGGGGAAGTCCTGTGGGTCAAGAAAAACATGAACAAGATCATGTCTTCTGAGATGCCTCTGCATTCACTCCCAAGTTCTCCCTACTTCTGTCTTCACCCCCTCACACCCAGACACCCAGTAGCAACAGCACATCAGACAAAACCACAACATCCAACCCAACTGATTGAAATTCACTCTATTAACAAAAATCAAATTGAACTTGCCAGTGAGATGTCTAATCTCCCTTTTGGCCCCCACATCCATCCTAACTTCAATACACCCCAATGGTCCACTCTCACTTCCTGTCAGACATGTATCTTGCGTGCGTTCCGTTAGTCTTAATGTTTTGCTTTGCTTATGAGACTGGTACTATGCAATGGAAAGCTCTCCATTTCAGATACACTCTCTGCATCAAGCCAAAATGCAGTTACACAGTAAAGCTCCCTTCACCATGCTCCTTGATGGGTTTTGGGCCCCAAGTTCTCTCTGATGTGACACTTCGCAGTTCCCCACCCAACAGCCATCCAGTGGCATCTGAAGTAAGATTGACAGCTGGTTTTGAGTTTCTCTCTGTTTCGGTACCCACTACGATCTGAAGGTGTTTTGACTTCTGACAGCTCAGTGGTTTAGGGAATCTGATGCTAGATTTCAAATCCTTGACTTCCAAAACTGCCTTAGAAAATTATAAATTTGAATTCGCTAAATCTTGATCTTGCAGGGCACCAGATTGTCATCATAACTAACTACATGATTGCATAATGGCATTCTGTAGCACATTAAGTCTCTCAGTTGTGAAACAGCAGAACGTGGGAAATAGGAGCAGGAGGAGGCATTTCAGCCTGCTGAGCTTGTGCTACTATTCAAGCAAATCATGACTGATCATCTACCTCATTATCAATTTTCCTCACTATCCTCCCATCTCTTTACATCATTAGTACCAAGCCATATTTTGATTTTTGTCTTCAACAAGCTCAATAATTGAGCTTCCACATTTCTCTGGGGTAGAGATTGATTAAAATACAATCAGAATTCGTGGAGAAAATCTGGTACCTAGATCAACCAGAGAAGGGCAAAAATTCCTATGTTCCTGGAGCAGGTGACTAGAAGTGATGTGAATTTGGTCCCCAAGTTGGTGCAGTGCATTTGCATCTGTACAGCTGCAGAAATCCTCAGGCAGCCTAGTATTCTGTTTACAATTACACCGGTGCCCATCTCTGTTCCTCATTTTCCTAGCAACTTTCCTCATGTTACTTCAGAAAGGACACAAAATCTTTAGAGAGGTTGCAGGAAAGAGTCATCCGAGAATGGTTCCAGGGATCTGGCACTTACTTTCATATGGATAGATTGGAGAATCTGGTACTGTTTCTTGTTGAGATGGAAAGTTAAGAGGTGATTTGATAGAGTTGCTCAGAATCATGAGGAATCCGAACAGGGTAGATAAAGGGGAAATAGATAAAGGGCAAGGAATCGGAGGCACCAATTTAACATGGTGGACAAAAGAATCGAAGGTGACACAGAAAAACCTTCTTATGCAGATGTTAGTTAGGATTTGGAATGCATTTCTTGATACTGTGGTTAAAGCGGCTTCAATGGTGGCAAGCAAAAGGGAACCGGACAAGCACTTGAAGAGGTAAAGATCTATTGGGGTTGGAAAAGGGCCGAGTACCAGGGTACCTTAGTTGCTGTTGAAACAGCATGGACTCAGCAGGCTGAATGGCCTCCTTCTCTGCTGTTATCATTCTGTGAATTTACAATCATGTTGATACTGCACCTTAGGATGTTGGATTTCAAAGGTAGAGTGGTTTTCCTTAAGATTGTGGTAATTCAGTATTTTGATCTTATCGACAGCACCAACATAGAGAGATGTGAATCAACCAACTGATAATTGACATTGTTCAAATGCTTTATGCAAGCAAACCCATGTTGGAAATGGGATTAGGAGTAAGCCCTTTAGCCCAATATTCGACCAGATTCTAACTGATCATTTCCCTCAGTGCCATTCTCCTGTACCATCCCCATATCCCAGAAATCTATCCATCTTTGTCTTAAGCATATATTCAATTTTAATTAACAACTCCCATTAAAGAGGAATATCAGAACTATAATATTGGGTGTGTTTTGGTAGACAAAACCATGGGAATTCTTGCACCCCAAATACTACATTAGAATGCTAGAAGGAGCAGGGCATGTTGATTGCTGGGCTGGACGTGACTCACTGCTGCTTTCATAAGTTTCAGTGCTTGGATGATTTAAGTGTTGAAGTTGATTTGATTTTGTACCTCTCTCCTGAAATTGGCAATGTTTGCCGGTGCGCTTCATAAACATAAACTTTTGTAAAACTGTGACAACATCCTAACTTGCAGCACGTTCTGTTTTTCTCCCCATCACCCCTGTGCTCGCTGACCTCCATTTGGCTTCTAACCTGGTAATGGCTCGCTATTTTAAAAACTCGCATCCTTGCTTTCAAAATGCTCTTGTGCCTTCACCTCTCCGTTTCTCTCTTACCTCCTTCAACCGGCCAAGATGACTGCACTTCTTTGAGGCTGCCTGGGCTCTAAACTCTGGAATTTCCTGCTTACATCTCTTTCTGCCTTTGAGATGTGCCTTATATCTACCTCTTTGATCAAGCATTTAGTTGTTTTATGTGACTCAGTGTCAAATTATGTCTGATAATGCTCCTGGCATTGCTTTCCTACTCTCAAACCAGAGTAATGCTTAAGACTAATATTTTTTTTTAAAAAATGAGTTAGTTAAATCACATTTGGATTAAATATGCCTAGCTATGTAGTTGTATTGCAGTATTGTCACGTTCTACCTTGACTGTGTGAATGCCATCTTATCTCTTTTGTCTGCTTTACATTCTGCATTTCAATGCAAGACTGCATTGATTGCATTTGTCTGGCTAGTGGTCATGGTTTTCTGAGGATCACAGTGAACTTCCATTACCACAGCAGATTAATGGCAAAGGTAAATCCAGGGGCTGCTTATACTAATAGTCAGCAACCAGCTCTCTCGGAAAATTGAATTAGATGCTTGTACGGGGTAGGTGCAAATATTTTGAGTCTGGGACCTCAGCATTTTTCTCAGAGTGCAGATAAAAAGCAGCAAGGATTTTGTTTTAAATGTCTTTCCCAAGGGCCTTGATTTTGGGACTTTTCAGTATGTTGAGATCCAGTATTGACAGCAATTTCAGATGGTGGCCCCAATGTGGGGGTGAAACCAGGTAATGACGGAGAGAGCTAGCATCTCGCCGGAAATTTAACACGACTGCATGCTTGGGATTAACACCAGATTTGTGTAATTAGCCATAAATTAGAAAGAACGCTAGCTGTGACTCAGTGGGTAGCATCTTCACCTTTGAAGCAGAACACCTCGGATTTGAGTCCCACTGTAGAGACCTGAGCAGAAGAAAATTGGGTGCTCCAGCTGTAGTACTGAAGGTGTACTGCATTGTCAGAGATGCTGATTTTTGGATGATGTATTCATAGAATCCCTACAGTGTGGAAGCAGGCCATTTGGCCCATCGGGTCCGCACTGAACCTCCGAAGAGCATCCCACTCAGACCCACCCTATCCCTGTAACCCCTGCATTTCCCATGGCTAACCCACCGGCCCTGCACACCCATGGATACGATGAAGAATTTCCCATGGCCAATCCACCCTAACCTGCACATCTTTGGACTGTGGGACGGAACCGGAGCACCTGGAGGAGAATGTGCAAACTCCACACAGACAGTCACCCCGAGGTTGGAATCGAACCCAGGTGCCTGGCGCTGTGAGGCAGCAGTGCTAACCACTGAGCCACCATGCACATTCAACTGAAGCCCTGTCTGTCCCCTCACTTGGGCATAAGCATTCTACGGAATTATTTTCAGACAGGCAGGAGAGTTCTGGCCAATAATTGCTGTTAATAATTTTGACACTTCAAAAGCACTTCATTGGCTTAAAGTGCTTTGGGATGCCTGGAGGTTGAGGGATTCTATATAAACGCTTAGTTCCTTTGTAAAATTGGTATGGCAGTAGCACTTTAGTTATTGTGTTTTGTTTTCACAGTTGACATGGATGATGAAGATGGACGTTGTCTGTTAGACGTAATTTGGTATGTATTTCATCTCCAAAAAAACCCCTAAAAAAAGGTAAATAACAATGACTGTTCGCTTTCATTTCCTCCTCCCTGTGTTTGGGGCAACCTTCAATTCATGTGAAGCTTGCTGTCCCTGGCCAAAATACTGTAGGGAGTTGGGGCTTTGTGTCATTCCAGTATAGCAGCATTTCTGTTTGATTATTTATGTTTTAACAATCTGACGAGCAAATCGAGGGGTAGTAATTGAGTTTCCAGCTGAGGATTGGAGGGATGTTGAAACTGAAGATGGAAAGCTCCGCCCCTCCCCGCCAATACTTTCACTCCCTCCCGTCAACTATACTTCGTACAATTTATTCTGCATGAGCTTTCTGACCAGAGAGGGCATCGCAAAGGAATTATTTCAGCAGCTGAAAAACTGCTCAGGTTAATTTAACATTAATAGTGGGATATTAATTTATCTTAATTAATCCTTAATTTCCCCTACCTTAATGCAGCAGAAGCCAGAGATTTGAACGAGGGAGCCACCATGCTCATAGCTGGAGGGTTCTAACCTGTATCAATGCAGGAACGGACTTCTGATCAGACAAAGCAACAAAATGGGTCAAATATATAACGTTTTTAAACGAAAAGTCCCTGTGTGATCTCTGTCATGAAGGCTTGGTGATTAATTATTGCATGAAGGGAATAATCCCTCAGTAACTGTAGTCCTGCCTTACTTTCAGAATCCACTTAAATGTTTGTCTTAATTAATTGCACACAACAAAATGAAATAGTGGATCTGTCATCCAAACTCCTATTGGTCTAAGTTCAAACTCCACTTTCACTCCTAGAATTCATTGCTGGTTTTGTTGAATTCGATGGTTTTGTAAACTTCAGGTTTAACTGACTTCTCATTAAAGAATCAACCACACCCCTAAGAGTTTTCTGCTCATAATTCTTCCTGTAATTTTTTTTTCTTCGTTTGAAGATGAGAATATTTACTGAGGTGTGGAATATCTTCAGAACCTAAGCAAACCTATATACTTGTCAAACACTTTCAGGACAGGTACAGCATGGGATTCTTTACAGAGTAAAGCTCTCTCTACACTCCCCTCATCAATCACTCCTAGGGACAGTGTTTGGGGTAAAGCTATCTCTACATTGTCCCTATCAAACACTCCTAGTACAGAGACAACACCAGGTTAGATACAGAGTAAAGCTGTCTGTACACTATTCCCATCAAACACTCTCAGGACAAGGACAGCACTGAGTTTGATAAAACGTAAAGTTTTCACTACACTCTCCCTTTAATATAAAAAAAATCACAACACCCAGTTATAGTCCCACAGGTTTATTTGAAAACACAGAACTGTGGAGCCTCACTTCTTAACCTGTTGGACTATAACCTGGTGTTGTGTGATTTCTGAATTTGTCCACACCAGTCCAACACATCATGGCCTTTAATGTAACTCAGACCAGCATTTAAAGAGATGTCCCCTGCTGGGCCATTATGGCATTACAATTTTCTCACTACGTACTTTTAGTTTACTTATGTTTTCACGGCTGAATCAGTGAATGGGCTGAGGCTATAGGTCCTCATTTGATGTTGGACGTTTATAGACAACAGAGACAGGACACTTCTAACGTTAGATGTATTCAAATGTGTTGTAGGGGATGAAAGTCAACAATTGTCTCTTCCCTACTTAGATTACAATCACTCTCTGTGTGCAGATTGGATTTGCATTTTTTTTAACATGAATGAAGGCTGACTGGATTTTATTTATCAGTTATCTTTTACCCTCATGGTTTTATGTGCCAAGAATTTTGCAATGTAAATCCTTTGCTAACAGAGTGGCTGTTTACTTTTGTTTTAAACAGCACAATACCAAACGAGAAGTAAAGTTTCCACAGTCATGCCTTCCTCAGCTTGTTCCACTCTGAGGAGCACTGACAGCATACTTTCGATGCTTACCTTTCTTAACTATTCTTAATCTTTTTAGTTGCAAAACTACGTTCTGACTAAATTTCCGGAGGCATCCTCAGTCAATAAAACCCCTATTTTGTTTGAAGAAAGTAAAGTTCACCATCAGTGTATTCTTCTTGGAAGACTACAAGACATAGGAGCAGAATTAGGCCATTCAGCCCAATGAGTCTACTCTGGCTTTCGATCATGGCTGTTATGCTGCTCAATCCATTCCTTCTCCCTGTAACCCTTGATCCCCTTACTGATCAAGAACATATCTACCTCACTTAAAGACAGTTGATAACTTGGCCTCCACAGCTCTTTGCAGCTATGAGTTCCACAGATTCACCACCCTCTGGCTGAAGAAATTCCTCCTCATCTCTGTTCTAAAGATTATCTCTTCACTCTTACACTGTACCCTTGGGGTCTCAGTCTCTCCTACTACTGGAAATATCTTCACCACATCCACTATCTGCAGGTCTCTCAGCATTCTGTAAGTTTCAATCAGGTTCCCCATCATCCTTCTAAACTCCAAGTACAGACCTAGAGTCCTCAAACACTCCTCTTATGACAAGCCTTTCATCCCCAGGATCATTCATGTAAACCTCTGCCAGCACCTCCTTCCTTGGATACAGTGCCCAAAAGTGCTCACAGTATTCCAAATGCAATCTGGCCAGAGCCTTATACAGCCTCAGCAGCACATCCCTGCTCTTGTATTCTAGCCGTCTGGAAATGAATGCTAGCATTGCATTTACCTTCCTATCTGCCAGCAGAGCCAGCATGTTAACGTTAAGAGAATCCTGAGCTAGGACTCCTAAATCCCTTTATTGTATTCTTATTTTTGTTGCTTTTTCCAGACAGGGCCATAACTAATGGTTAAACCATTTCAGTTCCTTTTTGTGAGCAGAAGTTAATTGACCTGAAATACACACTTTTTCTCTATCTCCACAGATGCTGCTAGACCTGCTGAGTATTTCCAGTATTTTCCATTTTTAATTTTTGGTTTTCCAGTATCCTACCGTATTTATCTTTTGTTCACATGAGTGGTTTGTTCCTTTTTATTTCCCTGTAATCAGTTGGCATCTGTTCCAATCACTTCTAGCTTTCTGTGGTTTTCTGATGTAATTGGAAAGCTCAGCTGTTCCTGATGTGTATCTTTTCCCTTTCCAGTGACCCTCAGGCTCTGAATGACTTTTTGCATGGTTCAGACCAGGTGAGTATAGTTTGCTGCTGTACCAAAACTGGAATTGTACTTGTGTGTGTGGTGTTTGCTGGGAGAGTCCCATGTGTTTGTGACCTTGGTTTCAATGATTTGGGAAAAAAAGTAGCTTTGGAATCTTGCAGTTCAGTTCAGCCTATCATATGTTTGGCTGTTTGAAAAAGTTGGGCTATCTAATTTTCTGCGCCACTTCCTTCCCTAAGACCCTGCAACTTGGTTCTCTCTTAAGCACCTGTCCGGTTGCCGTTTTAAAGTTTCATGGAATAAGATTCCCTTTCAACAATTGTTTTTCAAATCTGTGCTTCCAACCGTCTCTGAAGAAATGTCTCCTTTTTCCCGTTATTGTAAATCTATGCTCACCTGACCCACTTCCAATGGAAAGTTTCTCCCCAGTTACAGTCATTAAATCTTACAGCATGGAAACAGACCATTTGGTCCAACTAGTCCACATCGACAATGTTCCTAAACTAAACTAGTCCCACTTGCCTATGTTTGGTCCATATCCCTCCAAACCTTTCATATTCATGAACTTACCCAAACGTCTTTTAAACATTGTAACTGTGCCTGCCTTCATCACTTTCTCTGACAGTTCATTCCACTCATTAACCACACTCTTGTTTTAAAAAAAAGTTGCTCCTCATGTCCTTTTTAAATCTTCCTCCTCTCACCTTAAAAATATGCCCCTAGTTTTGAACTCCTCCACCCTAGGAAAAAGACCTTTTGCTATTCACCTTTATCTATGCCCTTCATGATTTTATAAACCTCCTATAAGGTGACTCCTCAATCTCTTACGCAGCAGTGAAAAAAGTTCCCAGCCTATCCAGACTCTCTTTATAACACAGACCCTCCATTCCCGGCAATATCCTGGTTAATTTTTCTGAAGCCTGTCCAGTTTAATAATATCCTTCCTATAGCGGAGCAACTAGAACTGTGCACAATACTCCCAGAAGAGGCCTCACCAATGTCCTATACAAACAACCTCAACGTTATGTCTCAACTCCTATACTCAAAGGTCCAAGTAATGAAGGCAAGCGTGCTAAATGCCTTCTTAACCACCCAGTCTACCCGTGCTCCAGCAAAACCCTTGCATGTTCAAAATTATCCCTTAAACTTGCCAGTTCCAAGGAGAACAATCTCTGCATTTCCAATCTTTCCATTTACTGAGCTCCCTCATTCCTAGATAAACCAGCTGTGCATCCTCTCCAGAATTTTTTCCTGGAGTGCATTGCCTGAATTGAAGATTGTACAAGTGTTGCAATATGCAGTTTCCCACAAATGTTTCAAGACTACAGATTGTTGCCAGTGCCCTACACATGACTTTTATGCAACCCACACACCCATCTACTTCATTTCTGTTTTATTCCCAGCAGATGTCAAAATCCAGTTTGCAACTTGACAAAATATCAAATCTTATCCCTAAATTCCTTGATTTTTGTTCTCAAAATGTATTATCTTAATAAGTAGTAGTATTATAAGTAGGCCACTCAGCCCACCAAGCCTGCTGCACCATTTGATTAGATCATGCATGATCTGATTGTGATCTTTACTCTTGTTACCTGCCTGACCCCCACAATCCTTGAATTCCTTGTACCTCGAGAACCTGTCTGAACTCAGCCTTAATATAATTAATGATCCAGTCTCCGTGTTTTTATTTTGGGAAGGAGAGTTCCAAATATTAATGACTCTGAGAGGAAAAGTATCCCCCTTATCCAGTTCATAAATGGGGAGATGCATTGTTTTTGAACTGTGCCCCCCCCCCCCACTTCCGATTACTCCCATGAGGAGAAACATGCTGTCAGCATCTGCTTTGTCAAATCCTTTTTGGAATCTTGTATGTTTCAGGAAGATCACCTCTCGTTCTTCTACACTTCTTAATTTGATCATAATGACATCCACACCGCAGTTTCTATGGGTGTTGGGAATTGTACATGTCTGTGCTACAATTTGAAATGATTAATGAAGTGGATCCTTCATTTATACCCAATATTTTACCACCACCCCGTGCCGCTCACTGGTCAAAAAAAAAACCCCAAAGTAAGCCCCTGGCCAAGTGCAGGTTTTCACTCTTTGAGGTTTCCTGGTGCAACGGAGAGAAGGGTCTGAGTCAGCTTCTGCTGACTTCCTTCCCAAGTCTGTGTGGCTCAGTTTTTGTTTTTGTTTTTTTTTCATTTTTTTTAATCTGTAAAGCGTCATTTTTTGAGTGTGCTTTCACTTCCCTCTGTGGTGAAGTAGCAGTGGAGCCAGTGTGAAGCAACTGATTTAGTGATACTGCACCTTCCTGTCCCTCCGAACACTGATACCTGATGAGTCACATCCACTTCCATGTTTGACACAAGGCCAGAGGGGTGTGTCAGTGTCTGCCTCAGTTTATTTGTCATAGAATGACCATAGAATCCCTACAGTGTAGAAGCAGGCCATTCAGCCCATCAAGTTCACACCAACCCACCGAAGAGCATCCCACGTAGACCCACCCCCTACCCTATCCCTGCATATCCCACCCTGGACACTTTGGGAAATTTAGCACAGCCAATCCACCTAACCTGCATGGCATATCCACCTAACCCGCACATCTTTGGACTGTGGGAGAAAAGCGGAGCACCAGGAGGAAACCCACGCAGACACAGGGCGAACGTGCAAACTCTACACAGACAGTTGCCCTAGGGTGGAATCGAGCCCGGGTGCCTGGTGCCTTGTGGTGCTAACCACTGTGCCACGTTGCTGCCATATTTACTTGTCTTGCTTATCCTTGTGCCCATGATGCCAACCTGAAGCCTGGCACATGCCCTGCACAATGCTGCCGCC